TGAACCTTGAGAACAAAAGCTTGAGTTTTCTTTTACTTTACACAAAGACAAAAAAAAAAAAAAAAAGAACTAAAAGAAACAAAAAACAAAGACGGAAAAACAAAAATATTATACACAAAACCATGCACGTGCAATAAGAGAACAGTTTAAATGAAAAAAAAAACATGTATGTTTTTTGTCTGTGAAAATGCAACCATAAATCCAAGCAACAAATTTAATCAGTCAACAGAAAGATATTACTAGTCATATACATACATCCATACATGCTAAAAAATGAACACACAAACTTCCACGTACATGCATATTCGTATACATATTTTTATTGAGGGAATGCTGAAAGGATTGAGGGAAACTGAATTGATCTTTCGGCCCAGTGGCAATAAGTTTCTAGCCCTCATTTTGTTCGACCTTCGATGATCCCCCACAATCTCCATAAAATTTCTTCAGAAGCTTTTTATGGATCACAGTCCTTCTACTTTCGTACCCTCCAATCTTCGTTAAATGGTTGTGACAAAATAAAACAGATAGATAAAAATTTAGACCACTTCCACTCACATGATTAAGTGTCTCTTTCTCCCCATACAATGATCAATGATCCCACAATCATCATCAAATCAGTCGTTAAACTCAATGCGAACTCAAGCCGTAAAATAATTGTTATTAAGAACTCCATTCGTGTGCCCTCCTTCAATGTTTTTTATATTGATCAACAATATACACAGCTAACCAAATGATCATAAATAAGTACATACATTTACTAATACATATGTGCAAGTACGAGTATATAACGATTACGATTATATATTTACAACCAAAACCGTAAGAACAGTAACCGAAGAAAAAATTAAATCGTAGTGCTAAAAAAAAGTAAACTGCGGGAGGATGATGCAACTCGAATATGTCTTAGATCTTTGCTCATTGGGTTCTTAGTACGTAAGCGTAGTAGGCAGAAACAAATTTAAACAAAAAATTTAGAATAATATATATATAGCTAATTGTGTGTATTTACATATTAAAGTTTACAACAAGCAAACAAAACAAAAATAACAACCAAATCGATGGAGATGCGCGAGAGCGAGAAGTTATGTCCTGTAGAATTTTTGAAAGCGTTTTCGTATTTAAACCAAACAACAAACTATGGCCTAAACATAAAATTAGAACAATATATACTATATATATACTATATAGATGTATACCTACATATACATACATATGAGTAATATTCAAATTTATGTCTAAAGCAAGCAACCAACAACAACAATTACAAGTGTCTGTATTTTTAAAAAAAAAAACCATTGCAATCAGGTACTGAAATCAAAATTTTTGTAAAATATATAAAAAAAAAAACCAAAAAAAATTATGTCAGCGGGAAAAGGAAACTCAAAAAAATGTTGGAAAATGCTAATTACTAATCAAAGAAATAAAACCATAAATTGATAAAATGGAATGACGCGGGGAAGGGTAATTTATTTGAGTGTGTTTGTCTGTAGCGAAAAAAAAATGTCTCTACCGATTGTCTATAACGAATCCATTTCCTTGAGAAAAAAACATATTCACACCCATACACTCACACAAATATATATATAGTATATAAAGGTGTATACACCAACATATACATATGGCTATATATGTATACCAGTCTAGCTGTAACTATTACGCTAAGTAGATGCGAAACGAAACGCGGAGATCATTGTGAAAGTCGGTTAGGAATGAAAACGAGTAATCGAAAGGTAAATATATATATATATATATATAAAATTGTCCAGACGTTCAACGAAACCAAATGCAATATTTAATTATACAACAAAGCAAAAACTAACATACATAAATATATACATACATACATATAAATATATTTTACAATTTATTTATATACATACACATGTATACATCATATATACGTATATATATGTATATGTATATGCTCCATAATTTATCGCCTACTACTGAATTGTTTGTTAAAGATTTTTTGAAACATTTTCTTTACCAAAAATGAAAGAAACCAAAAACCAAGCTCACACAGAAAAAAAGTTACGCCAAACAAAAAACCAACAAACCAACAACAAACAATTTATATACATTTATCAAAGAACAACAACAAAAAAAAAAACGATATATACAATAAAAAAATAAAACATAACAATTAGTTATTAGTGTAAGCAAAGACCAAAATGATAAATAATTTTTCGAGAGTAATAATAATGGAAAGGAAAGGAAAGGAAAGAAGATGGAGACGACGAGAACATCAAACACTAAAGCTAAAGTAAACTAAACAAAAACAAAATAGCCTTACCAAAGACACCAAAAACCAAAAAACAACAAACAACAAACAACAAAATTATAACAAATTTTCAATTAAACAATGAAAAATTTGATATATTATTTTGTAATTTCCTTTTTGTTGTTTTTCAATGTTCAAATATGAAAGTAAAAATAAACATAAATATGAATATGAAAACCAGCAACGAGTAACGGGAATATTTTTACAAAAACCAAAACTAAAAAAAAAAATGCATAACGCTTCCGACAATAAGCTTTGGCCACACTAATCTAATAATATTATTGAAATGCGGGAGAAGAATTGAATTGAAAATGAAAAATGATTGGATAATGCAAGAATTTTCAGCGTTAACAGTAACGAAATTACAACAAAGTGTAAGAGAAGAAATATTTGCCCAATTTGACCTATATATCTAAAGATGTATAGACAGACCCACATATTTAGTATATATGTATGCATACCTATGTACTTATGTAGTAGCCTGGTTCTACTGTATATTTTTAAACGGAGTTGTATTGCAGAATCAGCAAAGCAAATGTATTTTCATGACACGCATTTGAAGCGAACATATCAAAGCCGATGAATACCGAAAAAACGTTACGATAAATTATATAGAAATTACCGAATTCGATGTTATCAGCAAAACAACACCACAAAGACAATTGAACAAAAGAGTTGAATGTTTAGCTTTTAAAAACCATAATACGAAAATAATGAAATATATAATTAAATTGGAAGCTAGCAGGATATACATAAGTATGTACATCCGAGTACATACCCATAAAGTGTATCAAAATGTTGTCATTGGAAAGATATGAGAGGAGAACAGAACTTCTTAATCTGTTTCATCATTTATAATTGAAAAAATATTTACAAGCGCATTTAGATCGCTGAATGTGAAGAAATATGCAATTAAAAAACAACACACAAAACAATACCAAATCCAATGGGAGAACAAACAAACAAACACAAAAACAAATAAAAAACACTCTCGAAACTGAAACTAAATTAAGCATGAATATTTTTTGCTGTGTCTTAGTCCATGTGTCGTAACGAATTTATTGAACTAAATATTATATATTATAAAAATGTAACAAAAAAATAATAAATAAAAGCAAACAAAAACAAAAATTCCTTAAAGTTTTTGTTTCTAAATGAATGAAAAGCAGTCAATACAAACAATTTCTACAAAAATTAAGCACAAACTTTTTTTAGAAAAAAATACTACAAAAAAATTGCCTTTTACTTGTATTTTATTTTCTACTATTAAAAAAAAAAACAAAACCGATTATTAATTATATACAACACGCTGAATTCATTTAAAACAAGTTTTTCAAACAAAAATGCGCCTAAAAACATCTGTGACTAATAAAAACCAAAACAAACTATGATAAAATTTAACAAAAACCAAAAAAATATCAAGAAAATTGGGAATCGAAAAAGATAAAACTCCAATAAAGTAATGTAAGATTAGGTAAAAAAAAAGAAGTGTGTGCATGGTGCAAGAAATTTGTTGAGGCTACACAACACACACACAAAGAGATCAAACCTTATACATAGCTACAGTTTAACTAATTATTGATAAAGGTACATACATTATACATATGTACAGGTGACACCCACACACACACACACTCAGACACTCAGACACTCAGACATATAACACAGAAATATGCAAACCTAGTTGTATTTGTATGAGAGCATCATACACTTGAGTAGACAACAATTTATACATTAGAATTTATGTAACAAGCTACTTTTACTTATACAATACATAAATCCGCATATACACATATATATAGATTACGATATATATATGTATATACACAAAAAATATATGTATACTTATATATATATAAAGGGATATTTGAACCAGAACACAGCAATTTACTTATATAACAAAAAAAAAAACAAAACCAAAAAAAAAAAGTTTTTTTCAAAAACTCAAAGATAAACCAAGTCAAATATTTGGTAATAGTAAGAAAAAAAACAATTATGAAAAAGCAAGGAAAGTGAATGAAATGAGTTATGCAAAGAATATGAAAAAACCCCATGAAATACAATATATATACACTTATTTAAAATATTTAACAAGAAAACAAAAAAAAACGATTTATATATATATGCATACATATATACATACATACCACTAAATAGTTTAAATGTTTATTTATTGTATTTGAACAAGATGAACGATATTGAAACCAAATTTAAATAAAAATAATACATTTAAAAAAACCTAAAAAACCAAAATCAGTATTTTTGTATTTCATTTTGAGGGCCCGCCCTGTTTCTGTCTACCCCAAAATGCTTTGTATATTCCATATATAAGTATAAGCAGTGTTGGCAACCCTGTGCTAAAGCTTGGGTTTTCCAAACTAAAATCTTCCAGATTAGTTATGGGTTCCATTTTCCATGGCTAATTTATATTCCATGGTTATATGGATAGCTCAAAGATTTTTCTCTATGTGGTGGGGACTTTCTTGCACAAAAAAGGCTTTACTGATTCAGTTCTTTGGTGCATTCAGAGCAGATTGATGGACTCTATAGTCGAGAAGAAGCCTGCCAAAGAGGGGAAATTCTGGGATTTCCTCCTTACTATATATCGCATCCAATTCGTATATTGAATGTTTCTGATTGAGTTTCCACTCAATACAAGTAAATAATAAGTTTATCTTTTGAATTGCTTAGGCAGGTCTTGCAAAGGAGAACTCTTGTGTTTATAATGCATTAATTTATTGTGATTTTTACTATCCGAAAACTCAGTGAATCATGGTGTCGATGCAGGTATCGATGTTGGCATTGATCTCGGCAAATCCGAAAAGAGCATTCTCCGTAGCGGACGCGGTGCAGCTCTCGGCACTAGTGGCGACAGCGGGAACAGTGCGACGTAGAGCGATCAGATGGCGTATCGATTTCCGTGCATTCACGGCATAGCTACAACCGTTAACGTACAGACGGATCCTGCAGATTCTCTTCCTCAAATCGGTCGTGCTCTGGCGACATGACTGCAACTGTCGGATCAGGGAGTAGCCATCAAAGGTCAGCTGCACAACGGCACGCTTGGTGTCGAGTATCAGATTGACAGATGTGACAGTGGCATCGCGACCACAGCCCAAATAGCCCAATGTGGCAGACTCCAGAGTGTTGACCACATGGACAGCCTCGTTGGACACACACTCCTCGCTTTCCACAGCCCGGTTATTGATGTCAGCAGCCACCTGCTCCAGCTGCTTGAACGGAGATAGGAAGATCTTCAGCAGCTGATGCTCCACCACCTCGACAATGCCCCCGGCCAAGTATTCGGCCTCTGAGATGGCGGCATGTACCATTTTGTTGACCAAGCCAAACTGATCGATCTCCACATCTTCGCTCAAATCGAGCTCCTTGCTAAAGTCAGTGGCAAAGTCAATGCCAAAATCCAAGTCCATTTCCGTGTCCATATCCATGTCGACGTCCACATCGTTGCTCTCCTCAAGGTTTATGGCTGAGACCTGTACAAAGAGAGAGAGAGACAGAGGAATTCCAGTAGAGTTACAAGTGCAGATAATTGTAAATTAAAGAAATAAATAAATAAATATATAATAAATAAATAAATATCTCATTCAGTCGATCGTTTTATTTGGCTGAAGTTTTGAACCGATTTCGAATAGAAAACTTAAACTGAAACCCATGAATGTCTGGTACTGAAGCAGTTAAACAATTTATGAAACTTATCTTGCAGTCACGAGGCAGACAGACGGATATAAATATAGTAGATATAGGCCAAACATTATTCCCCTATTTACTTACAGCAGCTGCCAGGGCCAGGGCCAACACAAGAATAATCCTCTTCATGGTTGATTGGATTTTGTTGGATTCGCGCTGTTCTGTTCCGTTTTTATATATGGCCAGAACCAGTACCAGAACGTACCTCCCCGTGGCCAGATAGTAGGCATATCTATAACCCCAGTTTAATTAAAATATTCAAGAGTTTGTTTTTTTATCAGTCAAATGTTTAGGGGGCAACTCAACCAATTGAAATAATTCCCATTATTTCGCTTTTGTCTTTGTTTTTGGCTCATTTGGTTATTTTAATTTGCACGAGTCCCGGTCTAGACCTCTTTATTGTGGGTCTACTTTTTTGCCCGATTGCTCAGAGAAATACTGCGAGAAAGAGAGTTCGGTGTGTGTTTGATAAGCTGTCAAAATATATTTTCCTTTGGCTTTTGAGCGGTATGGAAATCTATTACTGTATTCCCCACTTCAAATCGTTTTAATCTTCAAAATCTAAATAAGTCCGTAATTATAGAAGGTATTGTCATATAATTTATAGCCCTCGATAAAAAGTCAGCATTCATTTGCGAATTGCAAATTGCCAGCAAAAAACAAAAATAAAACGTAGAAATTAAAACACTTCAGAAATCACTTCAGCACTTATGTATTTGTGCTCTCGATAGTTGGGTTCTTACTGTACGGGGGAATTATTTTTATTAGGGATGATTGTTCACAATTTCATGCATTAGAATAGCTCTTTTGAATTGGTTTGTAGCTCTGCTTGGATATTTTAAAATTATTATTAGGAATATCCATTCTGGGAACGTAATTTTGATCATGAAATATATATAGTCTTGACCAAGATATTATTATCAATTTCATCGAGAAGTGGCTATATTGAGCCACTTCTGACTGTCTGCAAACTTAGTGGACCCTTTCCATAGAGTCTTTTTATACCCGTACTCAAAAAAGAGTTAAGGGGTATATTAGATTTGTGGTAAAAGTGGATGTGTATAACGCAGAGAAGGAAACGTTTCCGACCCCATAAAGTATATATATTCTTGATCAGCATCAATAGCCGAGTCGACGAAAAGGACGAAAATCTGTGGCAGGCACAATTTTAAAGATACACTAAAGATACACTCGTTCCTACACTAAAAACGCAGTATCGTAGAGAATGACCATATCTGCCAGATTGCCGAATCTGAATCAGATCGGATCATAATTATAGCCAGAATGAAGAAATTAATTTTCAGTTGCTTCCTCCGCCCCTTCCGGAAAGAGAACCGCTACTCATTCTCTTTCTCGCTCGCACACTCGCACTCGCTCGCACACAACCCCTAGCGGAGGAGATGTAGAATATAAATGGTACATCTATAATCTACATGTTAGATGTAAAATATACATTGTAGATGTAGATATTTTTAATTCTAAAATTCTAAAAAATCATATGCTCAAAAATTTACATACTGACTGAGTACGGGTATAAGTAGAGTCGCGTCCCCAGAAGCGACTCACACGTTCCTTCTCGTATTTTTTGTTGTTTTTATGGAAAGGTATCTTTAAGGAGCAGCATACACTCCGCTGTTTTTATTTATAGATCACAGTAGGACCAAAGAGATTTTTTTTTTTTTTTGGTATTCGATTTGTTTAGGTTTAGCACTGTCTTCGGTAGGAGTGTGTGTTGCCTTTTCTATCGCCCAAATTCCCACTGAGCAAAATTAACCTAAATTTGTATGATTCATGGGTTTTATCTTCAAGTTAAATACTTTTACAATAACATTAAGCTGTGCCATCGAGTATCTGTGGTTACCTTTGACAATATGCATTAAAACTTGATGGATTTCAATCAGAATATTGATCCATTTTCTGACCTATTAAGACAATTTCATTCCATATCTTCACATTTGATTGTTATTTTGGGGATCATAAAGTTTTGCTTTTATTATTAGCAGGCGATCGTAATCAAAATCCAAATACGTGAACGACACGACGACTCGATCCGACTCGAATGTAAAGTTCACCCACCAATCAATCTATTGTTTGATTGATTTACAATCCCAGCCAATCCGAATCCCATTTATTGAGGGGACAATTTAGATTAGGGCTGAGACAGCAAATCTTTCTGGTTTTGGGGGGGGGGAGTATAAATATCGGGTGACAATGCACAGAAGCCACAATCCAAGGAAATCCAAGGAACAGCAATAATCATGAAGTCAATCGTAGCCGTCGTTCTAGCCGTGTGCATGGCCAGTACCCGGGCCCAGCCTTTGGCCATTCCCAGCCAGTTGGACGCCCAAGTTCGCAATGTTGTGGACGAGATGGCAGAGATTGGTAAGAATGCCGGCGAGGCCCTGGCGCACCAGTACGAGGAGATTATTGTGGAGCCACAGCACGAGCTGGAGGAGGCCGTCGATCAAGTGGAGGCCCGTCGCGCAGAGAGTCCCGAGTGCGTGGCGGCCGAGGATGAGAAGATTACCCACATCTTGGACGCGGCCCATGACGAGATGCACAGCTGCAGTGTTGTCGCTGCCCACACCTCCGCCGAGATTGCAACTGATGTGAGCGCAGCCACCCAGCAGCTCACCTTCGGTGGCTACGCCCTGGGACGCACCTACAACCATTGCCAGAGCTACAAGAGCTCCGTCCTAAAACAGACCTGCATGGCCAAGTTCTACGTTCAGGCCTCCATTTACCTGATCAGTGCCCGCTCCTCCATCAAGACCATCAGGCAGTCGACCAACCAGCGCATTCCCGCCGTCTTCGCCGAGGGAAATGTCTGCACCCATGACGCCTCCGCTCAAGCCATCCTTGGCCTCGAGGAGGTCAATCGTCATATCGATGCTTGCGTCTCCCGTCGTCATCGCTGATTCCTGATTCTAGTATCCGGATCTCTTGTGCAGTCAAATAAAATGTTGGAATACCTATTCAGAAATGTGCTATAATTTTCGAAGGGCTTGCGGTTACAGTGGGAGGCAAAAGTGGGCTGTGGGAGACATTCCTGGATATGAGAGTGCCGATGATGAGGAAACTTTCCACTGATTAGAAATCTACGAAAACCTCGGGGAATAAATTCTTGGTGTCCATTTATATTCGGAATAATTTGTATATACATATCTCCGGGGATTTATGTTATTGGCTGATACCCAAACAGTGACTCCTTAAATATATGTATATAAATACGGAAATAATTGTAATAACAATATCATGAAGTGGGTGCCAAAAATAAAACATTGAAGTGGATGATAATGAGTTCATTTCATTTAAATATAAAAATATTAAACCAATATTTAAAATATATAATATATATTTAAAGTATGTACAATACACATTTCAATATAGATATTTTTCTCAGTTCCTGGCAGATACAATGGGAATGTGAAGCGTTTCCCTGGTAAATTCTGGCAGCTCCAGAAAGATTTGAGCCGAGAATGGAAGATCGGTCCATGGGTAGGGTGAACGCTCTCTTGATTCGATCTCTGACTATTCAACCTCTGGAAATTCTTCCATTCTTCCTGCACACAACTACTCAGAATATATGCCCATATTTAATATGTAGATTTAAAGTCAATCGTTGATTTATATTTGAGCAGGCCAGCTAAATTATGAGTTGCACGGCTTAAAGTCATTACATTTTAATGGAAACTAATTATATTTCTCAGTTGTGTTACCCCGTGACAGGCATCAACGTGGAGTTGCTCCAACGCTGGAGGCGGCGGTGGCGGTGGCGGGTCGGTTTGGGGCCTGGGTGCGAGCTTGGGGCGCGGTTAGAGCCTTAGATTTATTATTTATAAAAGTTAAGTTAAGCAAATTTCGGCTGCCAGCACAAGTGGGTGGGTGGGTTTCCGTGCTCCCCTTTTGATGGCTGTTCTGGCGGTGATGGAAAATGTTTAATCAAAGATACAGATATATTATTTATATGGCCGACAAGCGGATTAGTTGGTCTGTGCCTTTGTGTCTTTCGCGTCTCAGTGTGCGTGGCGGTGGCTAACCTTGGAACGAATTGCTTTTAATTACACTCAACTTACTTACATTTGATAATTATTGGACTATGACTTCGAATTGCCATTCGAGCGAGTCAACACTCATTCTACATGCTCTCCCTCTATCTCCCTCTCTCTCTCTCTCTCCATGCGGCATTGCGTTTTAGTTTTCTTGGTGTCTATTCGTGTTTTCATTGAACTTAAAACGATTGCGAACTAGAAACCTCGCGACGAGATCAGCTCCGGCTATGCCCCGCGACCCGAGTACCGAGAACCGAGTGAAGGCGCAATGCAACGCACCGCAACGCCTCCGAATCCATTGACTCTCTTGCAGAGATCAATCCGATCTCTGGTCGTCATGCAGTCAAGATTTGTCATAGTGGTTGAGGGGCAACAAGAACTTTTTGGGTCTTTTTTTATAGGAATTCGTAAGCTTCAATGATTGCTTCCGAGTCTCTTCATGTCTCGTACTCATAACTATCATCTCGTATTCTTAACTTGATTCAAAGGAGCACCCGTAAAGCATACATATGTACATATAGGTGGTCTACAAGAACTCTACCAAAAATAATATAATATCTAGTGGAATTCTGTCCGGAAATTCTATTGTTCAAATCTCCATTTAGAAGCACCAAAAGTTATTCCTTCAGCAGTCATGAGCAAGCTATCATAAATTAATAAATAAATTAAAAATTAAATAATTATAAATTAGTAAAAAGCGGTTGGATTTCGTTGATAGTTTTACAGAATATTTAGTTCTCAAATTAATGATAAATGAGTCTAGTCCAAGCAGTGATTCGCCTTATCCCATAAGAATAAACCTTGAAATATCGTCAACTAATATGCTCGCTTAAGTTGCAACAATAAAAGTGAAAATCGCAATTTTTCTGAGCGTTTTCAGTCGCGCTACTTTTGCCAGGCGACTGCTCTGCGCGTTTTACTAGCGTTTCAAGGGCGATTTTAGTCGTGTGTCGGCACGCACTTCTGTTGTTTGCAATCGCCTGCATTTCCAATGTGCCTGTGTACATGCGTGTGTGTGTGTGTGTGTTGGCCACTTATTACCAATGCCAAAGCCGATAGCTGATCAGCTGCCATGCACTTGAGCATTTCCATTTGCATGATAATTTTGTACATTTCAATTTGAATTTCCATTTCGCTTTTCATATGCTCATACGCTCAGACAGACAGTCCCATTGGCCGACCTTCAGCTACAAAGTTCAAGCAACAAGTTCAAGTGACGTCAGAGAGGAACAAGAACGAGCCAAAGGGGCTGTGGGCTAATTTATTATGATTCTTTTTCTGTAAAAAGAGAGAGAGAGAGAGCGAGAAAAAAAACCCGAAGCCCAAAAGAATATACAGAACGAGAACCAGTTATGGCTATAAACAGAAAACCCCCCAACAACTCGCGAGACTCGCGAGATCTGAGACCTGAGACCTGAGAGACCTGGGCCAGCGGCCGACTATCCAATAGTCGAAGCCGGTAACGAAGTCGGGCTCTGTCTGTCAGTCTTGAGCTGAGCACCTGACGTGCTGGTTCATTTAAGTCCATAAACAATTTAAACATTTTGTTAGATCAAGCGCGACCCTAGAAACAGATTCTTCTTATTGTTTTTTTTTTGCATTATTTTTTTTTTCCTGTTTGAGTTCGCGAGTTTATCAAGAGAAGAAATGACAATTTATGGACTTTTAGTGCAAATCATTATCGTTTGTAATTAGCTGGCAGCAAGAGCACCGAAGTGCATCCAGAGAAGCAGAAATGGCACCGCCCCAAGAACAGCCAGAGGATGATTTTACCACCAAGGTGAGTCAGAAATGCCCGCAACGAGTAGTACTAGGTGGTTGGTGTTCAGAGGGTCTCAGAAAGCTCTCGTATACAGGGGCAAATATAGCGGAAACATGTGGGAATCCTGTAGGATAGTCATGCTTTTTGTTGGTTCAAATTTAGATAAATTCAGGCTCTATCAGATATTTATCTCGATATAATTTTAATTACGGATTTGCATGAGTTCTGCTCCCATAATTATATCGATCCAATTGTGTTTTGATTTATTTGTGTTTTAGTATATACAAAAAACTGTTAGCCTTAGCCCAAAGCTAGGCTTTAGCCACAAATATGATTCATTAACAATTACTTTTTATTAAAAAAAAACAACAAAAAAATGGAATATTTAATGTGGCGGACTATAAACCTTTTAAGCCATGACGTGACACATCAAAAGATAATGGAGATGGGTTTTACATATGTACATATATACTTACTTATACGTATGTATTTATTTAAATGGCATTAAATACAATAAAATCAAAATATAACTTACCTGAACTGCATTCGCTTCGCTTCCCTAGCAATAATCATATTTCTATTACCATTTCTTGCTGTTCGCTTGGCCATTCCATTTCACACTTTTCCTAACTGGTTTCATATTTAGCGCCAATTCGCTAATCAAAACATTTAGAGCAAAACAGAAAAGTGTGGCAGATGAACATAATAAATATATAAAAAAAACTAAATGAAGTTAGCATTGATTCGTGGACTCAGATAATTAGATGCTGGGGCACGGTCAAGGCTGTGCTGCCCAAGAGGCCAGGCCATAGACAACATATTTCATCTTGGAAACAAAAGCAGACGAACGGACTTTTGAGCACAAAAGAATTATAAATCAAACAAATACTCATATGGTCAGTGCGGAAGCAGTAAAGCTGGCTAAAAAAAAGAATTATAATAACCAGTTGCCAGAAGGGTTTTTTGGTTTTTGGCCCGGCACCAATTTCCTCATTCGACGATATTCGATTGCTAACTGAACGTATACGTATTCCTCCCTTGCAAAGTAATTATACATATAAATATAGGTATATGTATCAGCTGGAGATCGCGGTGTAATTGAACTGTGAATGCATTTTGGGCTGCCAAACGTTAGTCAAGGTGAGTGAGGGAGCCGGAGCCGGAGCCGGAGCCCCTCCCTCCGCTCACTTACTGTGTGGACGGAAGGCTGTGATTGATCAGCCGTGAGCTGAACCTTAAACGAAAATCATTGCCCGACTTGTTGGCCAATCTAGAATACTATTTTTGAGTAGGTAGTCCCAGTACTAGTTAAAGTAAAGTTTTTGTTTTGGGGTCTTTGAATAATTGATCGTCGAGCGATTGCCTAAAATATCTTTTGGCTACCTTTCTTGTGTTGTTTGAAATCGCCAAAAATTTGGTCCACACCTGGCATTGGATGTGGCAATCTCTGGCCAACCTGCGGCCCAAAAACGTTTCGACCAGAGCCGAAATTAAGCCGACCATATGCAGGAGCGGTCATTGAATTATGTGCCTAAGGTGCCCGGCCTGGGCCTGCCTCTGGCATAAATAATAAACAATTGGTTTTTGGCACTGGCTTGTTTGCCACAATATCCATGTACGCTGCACGGGCTAAGAGGCAGCTGCCCCTTAACTTTCTACACCAGATGCGATTACTCGTACTTACGTGGGCTTGGATACGTTTACCAGTAGCTAAAGAACATCATGACAAAGCTCCAGCTCCGGCTACAATCGCGACTTGCTCGAGTATCTGCTAGTACGAGTATCTGTGCCTTTTGCGCTCTAGTATCTTAATTATTATTGCGCTCAGCGTTGCGGAACAATGAACGATGACGATGGGGGATGGATGGGAATGGGAATAGCTACACATATTCGTATATGAAAAATCGCAAGTCAGAATAAAACAGGAGGAAACGAAAACGAAGCGTTAAGAACCAGAAGCCCAAAAAAACGTATCTAACAGATACGTAAAAGCAACGTCTCAAGACAAACTTCCGCATATTTTTTATTGGCACCCCAACTGAATTTTGAATCATTCAACAGAAAACAGAAAACAATCAACAATAAACAATAAAAATATGCCCGCTCATCAGGCCAAACACAATTAATAAGTATTGAAATTATTGTGCAAAAGGAAGCCAAG